TCCAACATGAGCCATGGCTCTGTCCTGTGTCTTGCCCAACCCTGGCTTTTCAGCAGCTGTCCCTGCCACAGCTCCACTCCCTCCCTCACTGAGGGGGACCTCGATCTGACCCCCCACACCCTTTCCCCCCCCTTCCCCAACAACAGACCAGGCTGCTAGCCATGCTGTGCTCCTGGCTGCCTGCGTGCTGCACTGCGGCTGCATACATGCATGCAGCATTTATTGGCCGCATCAGACAAAAAAGATTGCCGATGGTTTCAATTTTCCTCATATCGGTGCCAATCTGATATGGGACCAATGTTATCAGTGCACCTCTATATTGCATCTACTTGCAAAAAGTTGGTGTTCAAAAGACTACACAGTAAAATGATCAGTAGTTAAAGTAATTACATAGACAACACTTACATTGCCCACTCAAACACAGCACGATATTGCCGAAATAGATTCTTTATTTCTGAAACATTCCAAAACAGCAGTATACACAGTTGTAATCAAATATTAAATCATATGCCATTATAAGAAAGCATTGATTAGTGCAATTGGATTTTGTAAAAGGTCTATCAAAAAGATTTATTCACATTAAAATTCATTCATTTTCCATAAGCAACTGTTAATAAAATGTTACAATTTTTTCTTTGTAATAAAGTACTGAAAGTCAACTGCAGTTTAGAGATCATCATTATATCTTTTAAGTGCAATGTGATTTACGCTGCCATCATAAATACAAAACACCATGATAATAAATTAACATTTGAACAAACAATGAAAGACACTAACAAAACCATTATGACTGCCAGCTGTATGGCAGTTTCCAGTGAACGCTACTTGTTTGTGCTTCCGCAACATAAAATACTGCTTTCATATTGCCCATGAATGTATTTTTGTAGGATATGTTCCTAGTGCTAAAAAATAGTACATTACCACAAAAATATTATTTATGGCACACAGAAATATTAAATCCTCTCTCTGTGGTTCAAGCAAGTGTAAAAGAAATGAAGTGCAAAAAATAAAGTTCTTGGGTGGGCCGGGAAATCAAGTAAATATAGGTCCCCAAATCTGGAAAAAAAAAAAAGCATAATGCCTTTATAGAAGTACACTTGAACAAATTGTCTCAAAATTTCAATATGGCAAAGCTGTTTGAAATAGTGGTTCTTAGTGCACTCAAAGGAAGTACTTCTGGTATTTTGCAAATACATAAAAATGCTAAAGTTCTAAATGATGAATACTGCAACTGTTAGTTTGATAACACCGCAGTTTTCCAGGCAAATGACTAAGTGCAATATTTAGTATTTAATGTGTTCATTTTTTAAATGACACTGCATTATGGATATTCTTAGATATTAAAACCTCAGGGGAAATAATACTGTGTGACCCTCCCCTCTTTTAACAGAGTTACCCAGCCAGCTGGGTAAATCAAATCTGCATCATTTATTTTCTGTTGTTCAGGGGTATTCAACATCAGTAGCAGCCATCTCTCCAACTCCCATCTCGTAGAGTACTAAGTGAAGAAAGTGGCTTTGGAGGCTGAAGAAAACTGTTAAAAAAAGAAGCCATAATTTAGGAGGGAGAATAATAAGACATGTAATCCATTACTTGTGTATAAGTTGGCCCTAGGTCTATTCTTATCTACACAGTCTACCAGTGTATATTTCAAGCTCCAGACTAATTAGCAGGGATCCTGATTTTCTCTGATTAAAAACATATCCCCAATTTTCAGTTTAAAAAAAGTAACCTGAAATCTACATTTTCCCATGATTAAAATGAAATCACACTGATACACATATACTTGTATTTCATGTTAAATCGCAGAAAAATGTGGATTTTGGGATACTTTTCTAAAACAAAAATTCAGGGATTTGGGTTTTTTTTTAAATCAGAAAACCAGGATCCCTGCTAATTAGATAGGATTGTAGGACAGTAGAACTAGAAGGAACCTCATGAAGTCATTTAGTCTAGCCCCTTGCTCAAGGCAGGATTATTCCTGATTAAATCACATGACTGGCTAAAAATCTGGGATAAGTATCCCAATTTTACTCAAATCAATGGATGTTTTCGCATTGATTTCCATAAGGCCAGGATGTCTCTTCTAAATTTTGTAACACATATCTATCCTAAACAAGGAATACAGTCAATAGTTATGGGACACAACACACAATGTACAATCGAACCCCTCTGTTACACCTTCTTTTCCTCCCCATCCCCTTCAAACTTTCTTTTCACACAACTTTTTTCCAATCAGTCTCACTCGATCCTTCAAAAGAAAACTGCTTTCTTTTTTATTTTTTCCTCCTCTCTCCACCTCCTCCCCCCTTCCCAGCCCTGGGTTCTTTGCTCTTCACACAGCACCAGCAATGAAGTTTCTGCAGGCCAAATTAAGCCCTCTGGGAGACCCGTGCAATTCCACCACTTGCAATGAGTTTGCACAGGTGGGATAAGTTGAGAACTTGAAGCAAACAATTCTGCTGATGATGCAGGAGATCAAACAGAAGAGCCCTCCCTCTCACATAGCTGGTTGGCTCTGCATGGCTAAACCAAAGTGTATTTTTGTCACTGAGGACAGCAGATATGTCCAAATACAAACAGACAGCAGAAATCCAATTCCAATTAAAAAAGAGAGATTCCCCCAAACTGTTAGGCTCAGCATGCACTTAAAAAAAATCAGTACATTATAAAAAAAAAAAAGGTGCCTGGATTTTTTTCTGCCAAGGGCAGAATAAAATATTATCCAGAGGATAGAAAGCATTACTGAAACTGGCCTTACAAAAACTGGAAAAAAAACCCCATTAGTACCACAATGTAGAAGTCATATTAACAATAGACATTCATTATTAACTCATTAGCAATTAAGTATTCCCCCCTCCCCCCACACCTCAACGTGCTACTGAGGACAGCCGTTCCAAATAGGATTCAAAGAAAACCTGCCTGGCATAACTAGTTAGGTGCAGTACTCAGTGTGGATCCTTCTGCCACATTAGCAATTTCAGAAAGACCACACATATTTTACAGCAATGTAAGTTTGCTGAAAATAAATAGGAGGAAAAGGGGTTGGGAAACAGAGTCCATTACAGGAGATGAATGGTACTGAATGTGGTGCTATAAAATCTGCCAAGGGGACTGAACCATTAAGGGCATTTTCACATGTGCTTTGGGACACTGCACTGGGCACTTTAATTAGTGAGCTGTGCTAATTAAAAGCGCCCGTTTGTCACAAGTATCAGCTTCCCCATGCTGAATAAACGGTGGCGGGGCACTCTGCACTAAAGCTCATCAAACATGTTTTACTTCAGTGCCCCACCACCATTTTTTCAGCACAGCGATGCTGATACACGTGATGCAGAAGGGTGCCAGAGCGTATCAATTACTGTACTCCAGAAGACTTAATTACAGGCAGTCCTCAGACTTGCAATGGAATAGTTCCTGAAAACCGCATCTTAAGTCGAAATGTCGCAACTCAGAACCAATTTTCCCATAGGAACAATGTTATAAATGGGTGATTGGTTCCTTTATGACACAGCTGCATCCAGCTGGTAAGTCTGTTGTGGTGGAAGGGGAGGGGGGAAGGAAGGGATGTG